CAGCATGCTTACAGTTTTGACATCCCGTGGATTAGCTCTGGGATTGATTGACAGAAGAAAGGAGAGCGCAGCTTTTGTTTTGGAACATGAGCGCGACATGACGAGAGCAGTGATAAAAACTGCTCCCTGCAGGAGCGAGAGGCTGATCTCCATATGATGCTCAGACTATAGAAAGTGGAAATCCAGCAGTAAGAAAGGTAGCTATCAATTAAAATAACTGACTAATTCTTGCTATATTATTTTTTGCTCTTGTAATTAGAGTGATGTTTAATCTGTTTACACACTTGTTTGAGTGAAGATTAAGTGCAACGATCATGTTGTTTTGGTTACAGTCAGTAAAATTGTTCCTGTGGACTCTTAACTTTGAACAGACAATAATGTGGGGTTTTGTTTTGTCCCCACCTTCAGTTTTTTCCACCATAAAGCAGCACCAGGCTGACAGGTAGTAAAACAATCACCAAAGTGATTTTGAATTATTTTATACTTTAAAAGAACATTTTGTTTTTATTATGTTATTTTTCGGGGTATTGTAATTTATTTCATTTATTAAATTGTATAATGTTCTTCAGTTTAAAATGTATGTGATCCAYTGGTTAAAAATAAATGGGTCTGTTTTTCTCATACCTACTCTTTTTCACTGTTTGACTTGATCAAGACTTTTCTAAGATTTTACATTACAAAATAAGTAAAAGTGTGTGACTTGTACTGTTTTATTAACGGGTCAATATCGGTATCGGTCAATATCGGTATCGGACATTTCTCAAAGTTGTAATATCGGTATCGTATCGGAAGTGAAAAAGTGGCATTGGGACATCCCTAATAGATGCTGAATGCAGCAGAGACAGACACAAAGCACGAAACGAGAAGTTGAGGCAGACACAACAGTCGAGGGCAATGCTCAAGAAATGCTCAAGAAGAACTGGTGCTCAAAAAGGGGGTGGCCCCATGCCATGTGTGAACACCCTTTCTCCAAAAACTTGGATTCAAATAAGAAAAGCACTCTTCAAATTCTACCAAGCAAAAGTGTTGCAGCAGGCAACAACATGAGCAATCTGCTCTACCACCTCAGTCACAAATACATCCTGGAACACCAAGACTGTTCAAAATCAGCACCCTCCACATCCAAAATCACAAGAGTCTCAAGAATACACTCAAACAAAATACCCTCCACAGCTGGGTTAGAATTAAGCTACTGCCCAACACACAGAGGTATGAATAAAAAGAAAATACCAAAATACCATTATAGTATTTGTCCTGATGCATCTTAGTAATTAATCCAGGTAGAAAAATCAAAAAGAAAAGAAAAAACAAGTAGGTCTTCTGGATGAAGAACCTGAAGAAAAGAAGAATCTGTCCAGAATACCTACTTATTTTTTCTTTTCTTTTTGATCATAGTATTTGTTAAAAAWGCAGTGATATAAAATTTTGGTCATACTACCCAGCACAATCATAAAATAATGATGAGAGTCACTATAAAATGGTCAGAGATGAGTGATGGAGAAATTCTTTAATAATGGACGGAGTCCGTACAAAGAATTTATATAATTCTTGCAGCAAGGGGACAAGTCAATATAACAGTTAAGAAGTGTTGAGTTGTCCCCACCTAATTGGTATGCAGACTGTACAGACCAGTTTAACACTTCTCAGGCTCCAACTGAGGTCACAGTTTCTGTTAGGAGGTCCCAGACACTGGCCCCTTACAAGGTTTTCAAACACTTCMTCAGAGAGGTGTTGGAATCCCGGACGAGCCCCCAAGTTGTTGGACAAATTATTTATGGAGACATTTCACGCAGGAAACAAACCAGCAGCAAATTTTTAGTTTTGAGCTATTCACTTGCAGAAAAGGAGTTTATTCTGCTAACATGGTATGAAAACTGTGCTCTGTCTGTGTCTTGGCTTTTTGTAGCAGAGGGGAGAGGATTGATCTTTCTAATGGTGCTGCAGCACATCGACTTTAATCCAGACATGATGATGGGAGGAGCCCTGAGGCCGGACTTCAGGTCACCTTTTAAGGGGATTCTGTGGACTATAACCAGCAGGATAGTGACATTCACTGCCCGCATGTCTTACCCRTCCTGAGACATCAGATAGACAACCTGTTGAAAACCCCTAGTCAGGTCCCTTGATCTTTCCCCAACAAAAGCCATGCAAATGTTACGACCATAAACTCCAAGCCTCACTGAACCTCATAGGGGATTAGCCCTGTGACCTAAACCCTAAACCCACATGTATACAAATAATTCTAATACATCCATTCTTTGGCTGTTACTCCCTCACATATCAAACATACCACTTGCAGCAGAGCTAGGTACCCGGCCCCAACATTGTCAAAGTTGATCTTGACGTTCTTCCAGCGGGTGCTGTTATACAGGTTCAGGCACTCTGTCTTGTTGTTGACAATGCTGATAGGCAGGAGCTCGTCAGTGGTGGTGTTGACGCAGTGGTAGTACTTCCCTGCGAACAGGTTGACGCCCATGATGCTGAAGATGAGCCAGAAGATGAGGCAAACCAGAAGCACGTTCATGATGGAGGGGATGGCCCCCAGCAGCGCGTTCACTACRACCTGCGGAGGTCAAAGCACAGGTGAACTTAGGATCCTCCTGTCGTTCAAATACTGTTAGTACTTACTGTTTGATTTTAGCTTTTAAAATCATCTAATTATTTAGCTGTGCATGTGTACATCTTATTTAATTAACTTTATGAAGCTCTTAACCCCACACATATCTACAAAGAAAATTTAACACGACAGTTTGGAAGAAGAAGGTGGAATAGGTGAAAAAAAGTTACACTTGATAGGTAAGAAAGCAAAAAAACAGAAAAAAACCTTAGAGAGGCGGGATGAAGTCACAACATTTTGTTTGACTGTAAATGAAAAAAGACACACAACAAAGTAAAATTTACAGGTCAAAGGCACCACACGAGCAAACATCAGAAGAAAAAAAAAAAGCTTGAGAACAAATATAGATACAGTAAATCCATCGACACGRAGTGAGCATGCAGATAGAAGAGCAGCATCGAACGGCCAGGACAGGAAGTCTTCAGAGAAGCATGCAGTCTTACAGGCAGGACCCCCTAACCAGCCAATTAACAAAATTCTGTCTGTGAAGAAAAAACAAGATGCTGAAACTGAGATAAATCATGAAAATGAGAAAAGAAAATGTTTCCCTTCAGCACGTTGAAGCAGGACGACAAGCAAAGACGGAGATTATTTGTAAAAGTCATAAGCATTGAGACAGAAGAATGTGAGAAAAATGCACTTTTTATGAGAAAACTTTGGGCTAACTGAAAACAGCAACATGAAGTGAAGCTTTTACAGCTTGTGTTGGTGGTTCCATTCATTTGTGGGCACAGTTCTGCTAACAGCTAATAGCAGAGCTAATGTTTTGTGTAGCAGATAAGCATTTTCACTAACTTTGAAAACCATTAGTGGACCAGTTAGCTTCCACTAGTTCTGCTAACTTTAAATCAAAACCAAAAGTATCTCATCATACATGTTTATCTTTAAATGACAGACCTTAAGTGATCAGTTAGTGTCGCTTTTGCTTCCACTGCAAAAATTATTTCTTTGTTAGTTTATTGACAGTTAGCTAAGCTAACTTTTTCATTCACTGTTCCAACCACTGGTTCTATTTATTACATAAACATTGGTTTGGTAAATATTCTAACATTGTCTAACTAAACAAATACCAAATTACAAGAGCTGGGCATAGATTAAAAATTTTAATCGCGAATAATCACAAGATATTTTTGTGATTAATTGCAATGTTTTTTATGGAAACAATTACTTTACTGTGGCTGACTCTGTACATTTGTATGTACTCTAAGATGTTCAGAGGATTTTTAGGTTTCATATGAAAAAGATACAATTTTAAAAACTAAACTTAGTTTAAACTTATCCCCTTAGAGATAGGGTGAGAAGCTCAGTCATCAGGGAGGGACTCAGAGTAGAGCCGCTGCTCCTCCACGTCCAGAAGAGCCAGTTGAGGTGTCTCATCTGGTCAGGATGTCTCCTGGACGCCTCCCTGGTGAGGTTTTCTGGGCACATCCCACTGGGAGAAGGCCCAGAGGAAGACCCAGGACATGCTGGAGGGACTATGTTTCTTGGCTGGCCTGGGAACGCCTTGGGATTCCCCCAGATGAGCTGGCCCAAGTGGCTGGAGAGAGGGAAGTCTGGGTCTCTCTGCTTAGACTGCTTCCCCCACGACCCGATCCCAGATAAGAGGAAACTATTAGGGGTCCAAATACCTTCCTCTAAACTAGGTTTTGCCAACTAAAAAATTTTACAAGTTTTTTTTTTCTGGTTTAGTTTTAGCAAAGCAATTTTSAGTTTTTGGATTATGAGTCAGCAAAGCTAACTTTTTGGTTGTCTCCACCAATGGGGGAATAAGCACGTTAAAGAGCCATGCTAAATAAASACTAGTAATCCACAGTCCATAAAAGATCCACAAGGTATGAATACACTCTATTACAGTGGTGGGAAGTTAACCACTGTCAATATGCTAACTAAAAGATGTAGCTTTGTAAATGCAAAATCACAAAACAGGTAAAATAAATCATTGGAAGCTACCTCTAACTGATAACTACAAAATCAAGATCTGTCATTTAAATATAGACATGTGGTTTCCACACAAACCATTAATCCACCAGGATAAAACTGTATCTTCAGATGTGCTTTAGGGCATTTTCCCTGACCAAAACCACCTTTTCTGACCRGATTACAAGTGAACGAAGGTCACTCAGTCTCTGTTACACAACTCTGTCTCTATCCAACAGAAGTCTAACACAGGTGGACACACAAATGATAAAGATGCTACATGCGCACACAAGGCGAGTGATGCAGGCGTGCAGTGCTACATGTGTTTCCAAATTTAGCAAAAAATACAGATTCACTAAACAAAAAGTTAGCTTTGCTATTAACAACAGAATAAAACAGCATAAAAATTAGGATAAATTTAGCAGAAGATAACTGGTCTGCTAATGGTTTTCTAAAGCTAGTGACAACACTAATCTAGTCAATGAAAAGTTAGCTCTGCTATTAGCTGTTAGTGGATTAGAAGAAACGTGTACACCACTGCTAAAGGCCTGACCCAGTACTTCTGAAAGGGTGGCTTACATGATACAACTGCTTGACATAACTGCACTTCTTGTCATCTTTTTTAAATAGTTTAAGTATTATATGTATTTTAAAATATATTTTAACAGAAGTTTTGCTTTTATTCTTTTGCTCCCATTAAAGTAAATAAAGAATATCTTTATTTACAAATGCAGATGATTTTAATGCCAAGAATTTAGGTGAAAATAGACTTTCAGCTAAGAAGGAAATTTAACACTGGGCCTAACTAGCAAAGAAATTCAAATTCATGTCATATGGGTGAAGTAAGCTTGCTTATATATAATATATTGTTTTTCCTGATGAGTGAAACACATGTTTGCAGGTAGCCCACAGACGACCATAATGCACGAGTGAATCTGCGCCGCTGGATTTCTCTTGATGTTCTTACCCTCATGCCCTCAAACCGAGACAGGGCCCTCAGGGGCCGGAGGGCTCGCAGTGTCCTCAAAGTTTTGATTGCGCTGAGCTCAGAGTAGCCCAGAGCGTTGGCTACAAGGCTCACCAAGGACACCTGGGAGATAATAATGTCACAGACAATTGGGGGTAAAAAGGTGAGAAATGAGAGGAGGTGGACCATTGGCACTGGCTCAGACTGTTAGTTTAAAGACGGTTAATTGGATCTAAACCATGAGCCTGCTGCAAAATGAATGAAATGTCTGATAAAATTATGTTAAACAATCAAATAATCATCAAACTGTGTACAATTCTCTTCAAACATACAGTTTTAGTTTCTGATAGACCTCGCCAGACTCCCATTCACTCAGGAAGACAACTCCACTATCCTTTATTCTCTCCATTCCCTTTACTGAACAGTCTCTTAAAACATGTCTAGACTGTGGCAAAGAATGACATTGATTTACYTTTGGTTCTTTTTACATCAATCTTTTTTTAGCCATTTTCTGCATTCCCAAGATGTTCTACAAAGTGTGAAATTTAAAAGATCTCACCACCTTAGCACAATGCTAACACCACAGGCAAAGGTTTAAGGTAAGTGGTAGAGGTCTAGGGGGTAGAGGTCTACGGTAAATACTACAAGTCTAGGTGTTAAAGATCCACAATAGGCCTTTTAGTAGTACAAGTCTATAGTAGGTAAARGTCTACAGTACGTAATAGAGATCTAGGTAGTAGAGGTCTACAGTAGGTGGTAGAGATCTATATTAGGTGGTAGATGTCTAGATTCCAGAGGTCTACATGGTAAAGAGCTACAGTAGGAGGCAGAGGTCTAGGTTGTTGGTTTGACCACAGTGGTTAGTCCTGCTTTACAGTATTCTTGGCGATCCAGCCACCATGCTCCATCATGAAAACTGATAAGCTTCAACTACAACAATTAACCACCACAACCTTGTAATAAAAGTTTGAGGACACTCAAAACATTTGTGGACCCATCATGCTCCATCCTGTTTAATGTGGACCCCACTGATTTCTTAAACTGGCCTGAAGTCCTCCCAAAGAACCTGCAAAGACCATCCACTACCTCCTAGTGGGGTTGTCATCTATTGAGAAGGAAAAATCTGAATACTGGGAATGAAGAGCAAATCCACCAAAGTCCAGATTAAGTACACTGTTAGAACAGAGAATATTAATGTACGTACATCTACTATAAGGAAGTCAAGCCAGCACCAAGCGTTGGTAAAGTACTTGACGAAGCCGTACGCCACCCACTTCAGCAGCATTTCCAGAATGAAGATGTAAGTGAACACCTTGTCTGCGTACTCCAGCACGGTTTTAATGGTACGCCGCTGCTCGATGTAAATATCCTCAAATGCCTACGCACACGACATCAAGAAAAGTGTAAGTCATGCAATCATGAAAGATCAGTAACAGATGCACCGAGAGGTTATGTTGTGAATGAAAAGGTTTCAGCTTAGGACAGCGTACAGGTCAAAAGAACCAGTTCTGACTGGATCAAATTGGGTGGCACAGAAAAGTAAGATGAAGTCAAAAAGGYACGTACCAGTGCTCCACTGCTGAGTAGGATCATGAATATGATGAAGGACTCAAACCAGTTGTGCTCCACGATGATGAAGCAGGTTTTTCGGAGGGTCCACCAGCTTTTGAACCAGCCCACGTCCTCGCTGACCTGACAGCACTGGAACCTTCGGACGCAGCCTGCAGGCAAACCAAGGATGAAGACATGAGTGATAATGAATGCATGACATAAAACCACATACAGGTTGCAGCTGTTTTAAGATGTTCTGGTATTTATATGAGAAGTGACTTAGGAATAAAATATTGTGTTGATGGTGCTGCATTTGATCCAATTAATCATAATATTCTATTACAGAGGCTTGAACTTGATATTGGGATTACATGAACAGCTCTAAAATGGTTTGTCTTGTTCAACTGATAGATTTCAGTTTGTTAATGTTAATAATTAATCTTCTTACACTAGAGTTAGTCATGGAGTTCCTCAGGGTTCAGTGCTTGGACCAATCCTCTTTACTTTATATATGCTTCCATTAGGTAAAGTTGTTAAACAGCATGGGATAAATTTTCATTGTTATGCTGATGATACTCAGTTATATTTATCCACGAAACCTGATGAATCCAACCAGTTAAACTACAAGCATGTCTTACAGACATAAAAACATGGATGACTCTTAACTTTCTGCTTCTAAACTCAGATAAGACAGAGGTTATGGTTTTTGGACCTGAACATCTTAGGGATCAACTTTGGAGCCTTTCACCTTCTCTGGATGGCATTAATCTGGCCTCCAGTTCTAATGTAAAGAAAACCCCCACAGTAAAAATGTTACCAGGACCGCCTTGTTCCACCTGCGTAATATTACTAAAATTAGAAACATTTTGTCCAAAAATGATGCCGAAAAACTGATTCATGCATTTATCACGTCTAGACTGGATTACTATAATTCTTTATTATCTGGACATTCAAAAAAACTCTTTAAGAAGTCTTCAGTTAATCCAAAATGCTTCTGCCTGAGTTTTAATGAGAGTTAGAAGGAGAGATCATATCTCTCCAGTTTTAGCTTCTCTCTACTGGCTCCCTGTCAAATTTAGAATAGAATTTAAAATATTACTTCTATTACAAACAGGTTAGTCACATGCAAAAGAGGACCATCGCCTAACAATAGGCTTGATTAGCTCTATTGTTCTTAGAGGGTCATGTGCCCCATCACCTGACTTATTGGTTACGATGCTTCGGCTGTGGTTATTTGGTGTTKTGTTATGTGAATGTAGTGAGTGCAAGCGGGGTTCAGCGTCCCCTTGTTTGTGTCTCTCTTTCTCTCTTTGTGTTGGTATCAATGGGGCCCTGATTCACACCTTTTGCTCACAGGGGGCTGAGTCATACTTGCAATAACAGCATTGTAGGAGGAGGACAACTGGACACGAAGGCCTCCACCTCTGTTTAATGGTGGATGGGTTTTCTTTACAAAAGATGGCTTCCTTTACTCCTCTCTCAAACCAACGTTCCTCTCTATCAAGGATGAGAACATCCTCATCCCTGAAAGAGTGACTGCTGACCTGTAGATGAGTGTAAACTGCAGAGTCCTGACCTGTAGATGAGTGTAAACTACAGAGTCCTGACCTGTAGATGAGTGTAAACTNCCTGTAGATGAGTGTAAACTGCAGAGTCCTGGCATGCAGATGAGTGTAAACTGCAGAGTCCTGACCCAACGAAGTAGCTCGTCTGTGCTGGCTCATTCTTTTGAACAGTGGCTGTTTTGTTTCCCCAATGTATAAGTGATCACAGTCCTCCTGACACTTAACAGCATTCACTATATTACTCTGTTTTTGCTGGGGAACTGGATCTTTGGGGTGAACTAATCTTTGTCGTAACRTGTTTTGGGGTTTGAAAGCCACTGGGAYRTCATGTTTAGAGAATAAACGTCTCAGTTTCTCTGAAACTCCCTCCATAGGTGGCGGGAATTCAAGAATTTCTAAATAACTGAACCTTGTGTGATTGACTAGCTGCTTCCCAATTCAGAGGTTGCACCCAAAGTGGGCCGTCTGGGAAGGTTGCATTAAACAGCTGTGAAACGAGACAGTCTAATCAATGGATGACATGTTTGTGAGACCACTTGCTGTCCCATTACCATCAAACATGCCAAGTTGTACAGATTGTCTGTAAATTACACGGATTTTCCTCCATTTCAGAGGTATACGTAGGGTAATCTCATGGATTTCGTCAAAAACTCAGCTTCAAGTGTAATTTATATCTCAGAGCCCGTAGGACGTAAAAATTAATAAATAATATCAAAAACCCATCTCCTAACTCACAGTACTGCTAGAAATAAGTTCTTCACCTCTCCCTGTCCTCATGCAGGCACTGTTATCTCCACCCTACATTCTGTCTTTACCCACAGCCAACAGTCAGCTTGCAAATCGCCCACACCCATCCCCCAACCCCCTGCGTGTGAGTAATAAGGATTTTTTGTGAAACTATGGATTTTTGAGGGTCATGATACAGGTAAATGTCCAAAGGGGTTGACATGTATGTACCATGGTGTTATGTTTTATATCACATGCCTTTAGCTGGAACATGTATTCAATACTTTTAAGGGAAGGTACAACGTCACAAAATTCAGTTTTATTTCAAAAACAGTACACGTAAATAAGTAAAACAATAATAATTTGGCTTTAGCTCCAGTATCAGTATTTGTATTTGCATTTTTTTGTTCTGCTCTCGGAGGAGTAAGAGGCTTTTTCCTTCTCTCCTGCCTTTCCTTTTCTTCCCTGCTTTGCTGCTTGGAGCCTTGTCTACGTTTTCATCTGAAACCAGAAATTATGGATATTTCTATGGATTTGGTTGGCTGGTCTCTTATTAATTTTTTTGGAATAAAGCTTTTTCTTCCATGGGAAGACATGTTAAAGGTGGCACCTCTGTTCTTCTCTATTC